GCCCAGCCTCCCGGGCAGCCCATGCAGGCGGTGGGTGCTTCCTCCAGGGGCCCTGCAGGAGCGTGCGGCTCCCACAGGCAGGCTCATTGTTAAGTCACTGCTGGGTGGTCGCTGTGGCTGCCTCGCCCTGCACCTAGGGCTGGCCCAGTGTGGGCCCGGGGTGCCGGTGGGACTGGGCGGAAACGGGTCGTCCCTATCACTTCAGTCCCCACAGACCTCCATGTCGCCATTATCCTCCTGGTCCTTAGCTCTGTAGGTCCTTGTAACTGCCCCCATCTGACCCACTCCCAGCCCTCACCACCCTTCAAACCCTCTCACGGCACCCTGGGGACCTCCCTACCCGGGACCTCCGTTCACCTCGCTCCTCCCTGCAGGCCTCAACTTTCTTGTCAGGAACACTGAACATTCTGCTCCAGCCTTAATCCACACAACCCAGGACTGCTCACAGGCCTGCTGCGCCACCCTGTTGATTCTCTGCATTTACTGGCACCTCCTAAATGCCTGGTCACCCCCATTATCCAGCTGCAAGCCGTCTGGTCACGCCGAAATCCCCTTACACACAGGCAATGGCGGTGGCAAGGGGACGGGGCAATGGGGAACGCAAGGCCTAGAGCCTAGTGATTTGTAATATGCCTGGCATGGGTACTGCCTGGGTTGGTTTACTAAGCCACCTCGCACACATGCCCTCCACAGCAATCCACACTCTCATCTGCCTACCCACCAATCACCTTCCTCCCACCCTCCTCCAACTTCCTCCTCTCCAAGAGGGTGCCCTCCCTCCAGCACCCTCCCTCCAGCACGGGACCGGGTACGACAGGTGAGTTGTCTGTCATCCTCCGCCCTACCCCAGCCAGCTCCAGGCCACAGTCCTTGACGAACGGGTGATATCAATAATGCCAGAAGGACAGAAAGAAAGGCTGCTGTGGGGCTTCTGGGAAAGGTCTCCTCGCCCTTCAGAAGAGAACCAGTGACAAGACAACCTCCTTTTGGCTCTGGAGACGGTCTTGTCTGGATGTAGTTTCTGAGGCCGCTAACATCTTCCTTGAAGGAAGAGGGGAGAGGGCTTCAGTTGGAGCCATTGCTGGGTGGGCAGGTGGAAGAAAACTACATCCCGTGTAATATACTGTTACGTTGGTTTTCGTACTGTGCCAGGGGCCCTACCTCTGCGCTTCCAACCATGTGTGTGTAAGCCCAGGGCAGTGGTCGGCAAACTGCGGCCCCTTGAGTGTGGCTCTTCCACAAAATGCCACGTGCGGGCGCACACGTACAGTGCGATTGAAACTTCGTGGCCACACTCAAGGGGCCAAAGAGCCGCATGTGGCTCGTGAGCCGCAGTTTGCCGACCACTGGCCCAGGGGATTCTGATTGCATCAAAACCTAAGAGGCACCAGCTTGAAAGCCCACAACTATAAACGTTCTCCACCTCTAACTCATCTTAGGAAAACCATTGAAATGTTATAGAATCCACCTCTTTGTCTGTGAAGAGGGGAATGTTTGCCCGATGGCCTTATGGGAGGATGTAGGGGTGAGGATTAACGATGAAGACTGAATATGGGCGTGCCGGAAAACGATACTATCTCACCTCCAGGTTTATAGGGGACCAAGGACAAGTGACACGTGGGGTGAAGGGCTCCGGCAATCTCAGTGTTTTTCTATTGCTGCCTGTGGCTTACGCAGACATAAGGGTGAGCACAGTGGGGGGAGGGGGGGGACACGGCTGGCTTCGTGTGAAGATGAACTGAATATTAGTTGTAGGTCGATGCCTTCTCTCTCGGGCTACCGGGAGCCACTGAGCTTCCACTCGTCTCAGGATGGTGGCATTACTTGAATTGATTGCCCTCAGTTACCGTGGTCACACGGTTTGTTACCAGGTTAACGGTTACCAGGTTACTGGTTACCAGCTACCAGATTACTGGTTACCAGTTACCTGGTTACCATGTTACTGGTTACCAGTTACCAGGTTACCTCGTTACCGGTTACCAGATTACTGGTTACTTGACACCAGGTTTAATGGTTTAGCAGGTTACTGGTTACCAGTTACCTGGTTACCGGTTACCATGTTACTGGTTACCAGGTTACCTCGTTACCTGTTACCAGATCACAGGTTACTAGTTACCTGTGGAAACGCCTAGAAAAGTTAAAAGCAATCGTGCTGAGAAAGACGAGATTTAGACTGCTGACCCTGAGAAGGCACAGAGCCATGCCAAGGACTCCTTGAGGTTCGTTTGGGCCCAAATTCAACTTCAGAGTCTAGCAGCCACTGTTTGCAAAGGCCCCCCCCACGCAGGATGCACACGGGAGGGGAAGCTGGACTGGGCGGCCAGCCTCACTGTGTCCTGCTGAGCCCACCTTCTGCAGGAGGGCCCGGAACCGGGCTTCCACCAATGGGCTGAGACCTGCCCAGCCCATCAGAGCAGAACAACTGTATCTGCATTTTCATCTTTACTGAGCAGACCAATCAGAGCAGCTCCATAACCACCATGATCCCAACCAATCGGGACAGTGCTAACTTGACCAATCACGCTGTGCAAATGTGGCCTCCCCTTTGCCTCCGGGAGCACACTATGGTTGCCATTGGAGGCCGTTTCCCCGGTTTGCAAGCTGTTTACCTGCATAACGTCTCCCTTTTTACTGCACCCAGGCTGGGGCCTCCTGTTAGCATTGGGGTGATGTCAGGATGAGAGCCCTGAGTCCTTTGTACCAAAGTACCTTTCACTGGCGAACACTCCCAGAAAATGCCTGCACGTGCAGCAGAAGCACTTCCCCTGGCATTTAAAAAAGAAAAACAAAAGCGTGTGTGCCACTGGGGCTCACGTGGGATTCACTAAGCTGGTACAGCTGGGAGTGCCCAGGCCTTCAGGGCACGCAGGTGGCCTGACCTCACCACGGGCGGAAATGCAACTTCTCCGGCGCTTAACTTCCGGACTGTGAGCTTCCGCTCCGGCGGAGGCCACGCCGCATCCACAGTCCAGAGGCCGGACTTCCGCCTCCGGCCCGGAACTCCGCTCAGCATGACGTTGCACGGCCAGTTTGAGTCTCCTCAGCGCCCGTAGTTCCTGAACTTTGACCGCTCCTCTGGGCTAGCCGGAGGGCAGTACGCATGCGTAGTTCCGTTGAATGGGGTGCGTCCTTATCCTCGCGGCGGCCGCAGGAGCGGCGGCAGTGGTCCTGGCCCTGCGGCTGTGGCTCGTGCTTCATTCCCGGGTTGTTGTTCCTCGGGAATCTGTCAGTCTCATGGCGGTGGCCGGGTCCGGTAAGTACGGGGCGGACCACAAAACCCAGAGTGCACTGCGACGCCGTCCTTGGGTCTCCTTCGCGCTTTGTGCGCACTGCATACTGGGAGTTGTAGTTCCTTTGCGTCACCGGAACCAGCCCCCAGCCAGGCACTAAGCAGCTGGGCTGACGCTTCCGCGCTGCGACTTTAATGACAAATGAGTACCTCGCACCGGTCAGTAATTAAGCCTCTCCGCAGCGTGTAGCCTTCTAATAAATAATTAGTGAACAGAGAGGACGCCGAAGCCTTGTGATGCTGACCTGCAATTTCCCTGAGGAATAAACTGCTGGTTTGCGTGATTAATCTAGGCATTTGGTGTTTCCATTGGGAATCATGATAGAGGAGACGCGGCGAATTGTCATTTTTATAAACATACCAACCCCACGAGGAGGGAACAGTTGCGTGGCACCCGTGGGGCAGCCGTCACAGCCACCGGCCGTCCTGCCCGGACACATGTAAACGGGCCCCGGCCCCGCCAGGCGCTCACGATTCTGAATGACAGCTCCGCAGAGAGGCACCTCCCACACTGTACATTTAGGAGTAGAATCTGCGAGAGCTGATTTTATTTTCACACATTTGTTCTCCTCCGCCCCATGACAGTCGTATTCACACCAGAGGCTCCGTTTCCAGTGGTTCCTCCCGCTGTTGAGACGAGCACAGGCTGTCCCGTTGGTGTCACACTGTCCAACAGGCGCGTCCCTCGCGGTCTCTCACCCCAAGGCCTCCCCCCCTTTCCAGGCGGGCACACCACCGAGCTGCTGAGGCTGCTGGGGCACCTGTCCGCCGCGTACTCTCCCAGACACTACGTCATCGCGGACACGGACGAGATCAGCGCCCGGAAGATACAGGCCTTCGAACTCGGTCGCGCCGATAGGGACCCCAGTGGCATGGTAAGTGAGCAAGTCTCTTTCTAAGGACGTTTCAAATTGCACGTGGAGTTTAGTTCTTTAACAATCGGGGCACGCCAGTTACGGTGCAGGTGGTGGAGGAGGAGGAGGGGCCAAGGGTGACATGCAGACTTCGCCTGAGCTGCCAGAATAATGGAGTTGCCCCGTGTCCGTGCGGAGGGGCAGGGGGGCAGGACGGCCGCGACCACCCCTGCAGGACGGGGATCCAGGCCTGACGTTCGGCGGGGAGCCCGGTCTGGGGTGTGAATGTTGGAGTCGTCGGCGTGTATAAGACGGTCCTTAACATGAGGAGGCGGTGAGCTCAGCCAGGGACGCGAGTGTGAGAGCAGAAGAGCGGGCAGCCGGAGCCCGGCACTGCCTCTCCCGGGCGGGCGGTGTCACCTCCGAGCCTGCAGGGCAGTGAGGCCCGCCCGACCTGCACCTCTTCTCCCCTGCCTCCGGGCAGAGGCTGGCCGCTCCCTCCTCACGTTCCTCCTGTCCTGGCCAGGAGGGCTCCCTTCTTCCCAGTTCACACACACACACACACACACACACACGTGTGTTTCTTACAGCAGTTAGTCTGTCTGTGGCAGGAGGGTCTTCAGGTTTGTCTATGTCACCAACCAAGACCAAAGTGGAAAGGTGGGCTCCCCTGTCACCCCCAGCCCCGCTCCCTGACACACGCGGCCTTAGAACTCAGCGTAGGGGATTCTGTGCGCGCACATCACCGCATGGACGGGGAGGGCAGGTGGCCAGTGTCCAGATCAGGGGTTTGGGGGGCTGGCTCCCGGGGCGGCCTGGGCCACCTGCCCTTTTAACCAGACCCTGGGTTGCTGTGTTGCAAGAAGGCTGGGGGACAAGGGGGAGACGGTGGGAGCCTTCCCGGCAGAGCTAGCGCGGCCCCGTGGGGTCGGCACGGGGCAGTAGGCGGGTTTGAAAGGAGAGGAAATAGAATTTCCTACAGACCGGGTGTGGGATGGGAAGGGGAGAGACGAGCAGAGCTCCCGGGCCTGTGGTCGGAGCGGCCGTGAGGACGGGGTGCCCTCCCCGACGGGGCGCTCCTGCACGCTCTCCCCATGTTCCGCGCCCCTCTCCCACCGGAAAGGCCCTCAGCTCCGGAGATG